GGCGGAAGAAGGCCAAGCAGGGGGTTCAGTGCGGAGGGGGGAATAAACGTGGTATGTGCCGTCATTTTTAGTATTTGCCGTCATTGGTGTGGCCGATTTGGTGCGTCGAGATAAAAAAAAAAAAACTTGGAAAATTGAAAATGGGTTTCGTGTGTGATGCCTACAACAGAGGGGAGGGGGATAGGGAGGGGGAAAGTACCCCAAGAGCACAGAGGAGGTGAAAAAGGCAGCAAGGCGGCGACCGAAAACACCCGCGCTGGTTCGGCCGTTGCAGCTTAATCTTCTTTCCGTGTCTCCTGACAACAACAAAAGAGAAGGCGCTTCGGTTACCACCACCCTCACGTCCAGACGCCAATCTCTTACCGGAACTCCCCGTAGATGTACATGGAAAAGAAGCCGTAGAAGAACCCGGTAAAGCCGATGGTGGCGAACGAGAGCGGCTCGTCGGAGAAGTGTAGGTACCGGTTGAAGCCTACGAGGCCGAGCCCCAGGCCGTAACCCATGATCAGGGCCGCCGTAGACACCTTTGCAAAACAAAAATTAACGCAGCAGTTATCAATCTGGGTATATACCGTTCTGCACCATTCGGGTATACGTTTTGACGCACAGTATATCAGGAGGAAGCAAAAATATGGTAAATTTTTTTTTCTCGACATTTCTCCGCCCACGGAGCTTTTCCCTTCAACCGAGAATGGTCCAGCAACTACAGTAGTTCCCTCCGATTCCCTCGTCTTGTGTTTACTGCCGTGTATCGGCTATCTACTACTACTTAAGTACTGTACTATGCGTTTTTACACACCGAAGTACCTAGGAGATATTTATCCAGAGAACTCCACTATTTAGAAGGTTTCGAGGCTACCAACTGAGCCACGTGTGCACGGTATTCTTAAGGCATACGCTAGGGTCACGCGCCAACCAAAAGGGTACACGAGGCTCCCAACTGAACTATAGGGGGGGGGGGGGGGCAGTGCATGTGCACGAGGTTTTCACGGTAAACGCTCCGGCAGCGAGGGCAAGGCTCCAACAAAAGGGTTAGGGGTTTTAGATGAAGCTCTGAACGGCCGTTGCGAACCGGTGCATGCGCACCATGTTCTCAAGGCAAACGCTAGCGTCACGCTCCGACAAACAGCCACAGCGAAGAAGAAGAAGAAGAAGAAGAAGAAGAAGAAGAAGAAGGCAAACGACACTCACCTTGACGGCCGCCTTTTGCCGGGAGATCGATCCCCCGAACAAGATCTTGTGGAACAGCCCAACCAGTATGCCGAGGTAGCCCACTACCAGACTCGTCGCCCTGCGATAGAAAGGAAGATAGAAAGGAAGACAAAAAAAAAACACCCACAAACAGGACCAAAAAGCGGGTCGAACGGGGATAAGAAAATAATACTCTCTTCCTCGGAGTGGATCCGTTTATTTCAAGTATTGGATTTGGCGAGGTCTCCAACGGCGGGCGGAGGTCCTCGCGTGTGGATACGCCCCGGCCGGTGCTGAGCGCTCTCACAGCTCAGGTACATCGACAGGGTTAAGAAATATGGAGACGGGTGAGGGACAATTTTTCTCATGACATAAGCATACAAGCTTGGATTGCCCGTACGCCCCCCCCCCCCCCCCCCGGGCCAAAAAAAGGGGGCCCCCGGTGGGGCAAACCCCTATTTTCCCCTTTACTGGGGGGGGCCCCTAATTTTTTCCCCTCCAACCCCCTTTTACACTTGGGTTAAGAAAAACCCAAGGGGCCAACCCGGAAAAAAACCCATTTACCGAAAAAACGGGGCCGGCCAAAAAGGCCAAAACCCCCATTAAAACAAGGCCGAAGGGGGCCAAAAAGGGCCAATCCGGAAACCCCCCCATTAAAAAAAACAAAAGGGGGTCCCAAATCCTAAAAAGGATTAAACACAAATTTACCCGGGGCCGAAGGGGGCACGAAAAGGCCAACCCGGAAAAACACCCATTAACCCCAAAAAAGGGGCCCCCAAAAAAGGATTAAAGGCCATTTAACAC